TAACTAGTGGGGCGCAAGGCATCGTGCCTTAAGGCAAATTGCTGGAACTTCTCTTACCAAAAATTATTTTTTTTAAAAAAGGTTAACATGTTTGAAAAAAAATACTCCGTAAAAATTAGATTTTTGAGAAACTATAAATTTTTGACAAAAATTTACTTTTTTTTGAAAAAAAAATGTTTTCTTTATTTTGACATATTTTGGAAATTCTGAACTTTTTTCAAAGCAATCGTACTGCTTTAACTACATAGGGACGAAATTATCGAAGCGCATAAGCGCATTGTCGCTGTCCAACGCGTAAACATTGGTACGGAACCCATTGGAATGTAAACAAAATTTATACTTATTGTTGAAATCTCTATAAAAAATCTGATAATTTGATTTTTAACCGCCAGATGGCATTTTTTTTTTTTTTACTAGAGCTTCAAAACCGCTAGAACTGCCTTCATGAAAATTTGATCAGTTCTTCATCTTGTTAATACAAGTAAAATGTTTTTTGAATTATTAAAATCGGACGCTCCGTTCTCTTAAAAACTGAGTTACTGTTTTTAGCACTTTTTGCTCCATATCTTCGGAACAGCTAGACCTGTCTTTGCCAAAAACTAATCAGCACGTCTCCTTATCAATACGAATCGAATGTTTTTTGAATTATTCAAATCGCTTCATCCGTGTTCCCGAAATCGTCGACAAAAATTTGTATCCGAACACACACACACACATATATCCATTTTTTCTAAGGTATGCCAAAATATTCAGATGGTTTTGAAACGTATAGATATGTGAAAATTTTCATTTTTGATTTTTTGCAATTACTATAACTACCCTACGGGAAGTTAATTCAATATTTTACTATTTAATTTATCAACGCTTGCTTGTGACTAAATAGATAAACTAGGTGTGAGTGGCATTTTGCCTTAAGGCAAGTTGCCTCAACTTTCCAAAATGAGTAAATAATCGACATAATTATTAATAAATCATAATTATAAATAAATTTATGAGTTATTTATAAGTATACGAAGTTGATGTAAAAAAGTATAGCAAATTTTTTTGGGAGATTTTAATAAAACTTTGTATGGCAATAAAGTGCATAGTCTTAATGAACAAAGTAAAATATTAGAGGCTTACGATAAGTGACCTATAGCAACTCGTAATACATATATAAAGTAATATACTATTGATTTCTTATTGATTAAGACAATTATTTACATATGTCGGAAAGTTCATGCAACTTGCTTCTAGGCGTAATGCCACTCACACCTAGTTTTTAACTTCCCGTAGGGTAAGTTATTGTAATCGTCCAACAACTACTATATTAGTGATTTCTTATTCTTCAAGTCGTTTATTTACACATGTCAAAAAGTTTATGCAACTTGGTTTGAGGCAAAATGCCACTTACACCTAGTTTTGAAATAATCGATATAAATATTATTAAATCAATATATTAATTTATGAGTTATTTATAAGTATACCAAGTTGCTATGAAACTATTGCAATTTTTTTTGAGAGATTGCCGTAAGGCAAGTTATTGTGATCGTCAAAATATCTAAATTGCAAATTGTTGCATATCTGTACGTTTCAGAGGTTTCTGAACATTTTGGCATACCTCAAAACAAATGGATGTGTGTGTGAATGCGTGGATATTTTGTCCTTTTTTTTCGGGCGCACGGTTCCACCGATTTGAATGGTTTAAAAAACATTCGATTCCTATTGATAGGGAGATGTGCTGATTAGATTTTGGTAACGGCAGGTACAGTTGTTACGGAGATACGGAGTAAAGAGTGCAGAAAATAGAAATCGAGTTTTTGAGAGAACGGAGTATCCGATTTGAATGATCTAAAAAAACATTCAATTTGTAATGATTGGGAGAAGTGGTGATTAGTTTTTGGCAAAGGCAGGTCCAGCCATTTCGGAGATGTAGAGCTAAATGTGCAAAAACGCAGTTTTTGAGAGAACTAAGCGTGCGATTTGAATGATTCAAAAAACGTTGTGCTTGTTTTGACGAAACCATTGCTTTTGGAAAAAATAATCTATTTAAAAATTATTTGTTTTGTAATATCAAAAATAATTCGGATTTTCAAAATTTTAATTCGGTGCGGAAAATTAGAGCAATTTGCCTCAAGATGCCATACATCACTAGTTTTTTTTATTATTTCAAAATTTAAAAAATTTTTGTAGAATTTTTTTTGTGTATTGAAAATAATTCCGATTTCAATTTTATTTCTAGTTAAAGTTTTATTAACTTAATATAAAACATTCTACATTTAATGTAAAAAAAATCATAAAATATAATAAAATTTTAAATATTACTCACCAAAAAATTTACAAAAACAAGATGAATATTTATCCAAAAATATTTGTTTTTGCAAATACACTCTTCTAAAAAAATCTTTCAAATTTCATTCGACCAAATAAATTCTTTTAGTAATAATTTATTCTTTCCAGATTATTTCATGGTTGCAATATATATCTGAAATTGATGAGAAAAGTTTAGAAACATTTTATTAAATTGTTCAACAATGTTTTACCATTTTTCAATCTTCTTCAAAATTTGTACTGAATTTAAATTTATTTAAGTTTCTATGAAAAAGTTTATTAAATTGTTTAACAAACTTTCTAATAATTATTATTATTGTATTGTATTATTATAAATTTTCAGTATCGAAATAATATATATATATATATATATATATATATATATATATATATATATATAAAATGTTACTCACCAAAAATTTAAAACAAATGTAAAAGATTAAATAAATATTTCAGGAAATTTATTTGTCAAATTCACTTCAAAATTATATTTCTTTTCGATATAAGTTTTTTTTTCTAATAGAATACTATGGTTAATTATTTTTTCCAAATTAATTTCTTATTTATGAATCTGTAAAAAATAAGCAAATATTATTTCATAAAATTGTATATTAATTAATTTAAAATTTGTATCCGAGACAAATTATTCCAAGTTTTTCAAAAATATGAATATTTATCTAAGATGATTTTTTTGCCAAATACACTTACTTATTTTGTAAGTTTATTAATTAATGAAGAATTATGTCAAAGTTTGTACTTGAAAAGAATTATTCCAATAATTATTTCTAAATTATTAAAAAAAAAATCTATTTGTATATAGTTTCTATATAACTAAAAATTTATCATTGTTTTGTATTGTACATATATATAAATATAAATTAGTATTAATACCTTATGTAAATATAGTTAGTAGGAACCGATTAAAAATTCATGAATATGATATTATATGCATATAATATAAATATTATACAAAAAAGTAATCCTGATTTTAAAAAAATAATGTAATAAAGTATACTATTATAGAAAACTGAATAAAGTGTATTAAAATATGAAATTATGGGGTTTTATTATTTTTTAATTATATATATATATATATATATATATATAACATATAAATATATATATATATATATATATAATATTATTTTAAACTTTAAAATTGAGGTTTATAATTTTTCAGAAAATCCGAGTGCTTTCTTTTAAATTTTCTTGGGGTATCTAGTGCTAAAAATTTTGTTATAATTAAGTTAACGATTATTATTATTTTTATTAAATTTACGAAAGAAAAATTTAGGTTTTTGCACACAAAATTTTGTTTTCTTGTCATTTCAAGTCGTTTTGAATCGTTTGACACAAAGATTTGACACTGAATTCAATATAATCTATTATTATTATTGCTTTTGAGTATCGTTTATTTTATCTGTTTTTTTAACTTTATCTAGTTTTTTACTTGAACTGTTAACTTTACATGGCTCTTCACCTTTACCTTTACCATTACTTTTAGAATTAAAATAAAAATAATTGACTTCCAAATTTGAATGCTACAGCATTCATGTTATTCTGCATCACAATCAAAATGAATGCCATAGCATTCACGTCCTATCAATCGCAAATTGGAGAACAATTTTTGCTTCTAAACTGTAAATAAATAATACTTACCCATTTGTGTATTTTGTATAAATTATATATTTCATTATCATATACATATATATATGTGATATTTACAATTTTCAAATTTTTATATAGAACATAATTTTTATGCAAAGTGATACATATGTACTAAATAATGTAATAAATTTTTATAACAGGTACAAATTTGTTTTTATTTCCACGGTAATTTTTTAAATTTAATAGTTTTTTCAAAACTTTATTGATTTTTTTTATATACTGGGATAAAAATTTACTAAAAATAAAATTCTTCTAAAACATGCAACTTTTTTAAGAATTGCACTTGATTTTTTTTCAAGAATTTGTTTATAATAATTTAATTTTCTCATCTTTTTGTATTAAACAATCAAATATTCTAAGTAATACATTTGTAAATAATTATGCACAAGAATTTGTCAAATATTTGTTATTTAATTTGTTAAAAATTATTATTTAACATCTAGCTTAAATTGTTTATTCTTGCAAACACATTTTATCTATAATATTTTAATTATGTAATTACATTTTATTTATTACATTATATTATATATATAATTTACAACTAATTATTTACATTTTTATAAAATATTACAAAATTTCATAGTTTCAAGATTTTTAGTAATAATTTATGATTTTAATTAATGATTTATTTATTTAATTAACTGCAAATATTTTTTTTTAATTTCTAACTAATTATTTACATTTTTATAAAATATTGCAAAAATTAATATAGTTTATAATTAATTATGATTTATAATTTATTAATTAATGATTTATATTTTTAAAAAAATATTTTTTCTTTAAAATAAAAATCTGTACTTTTACAACACGTCTTTATGTTTTTTTTAACTTCTATAGTTTTCAGTATTAATATTAATTATGAAATAATACAAATTACACTTAAATTATAATTATAATTTAAAAAAGTATTATTATATACAAGAATTTTTGAATTAATTTATATTTAAATAATTAGTAAATTGTTGTTAGGCATATTAATAATGATATTATTAAATTGATTATATTTGTTAAAAATTGATTACAGGAATCAGCCGAAGATGAACCTTTCATTGCTTCTGTATGTTCACCTAAAAAAAATTAAATAATTTTAATTGTGGAAATAATACTAAATAAATAACATTAAATATTACATTAAATAATCATTTGACATATTTTTTTACCTTTGACAACAATTAATTCGACTTTGTCAGGTGGACCTCCAGGTGGAGCGCAGGCATAACTTCCTGCATCTTCAAGACCTACAAGGGCAACTGTTAAAGAACTTCTAACTAAATCCTGGCTCCAAACTGTATCTACACTTATTCCACCTCTTTCTGCCTAAAAAATAAATGACACATAAAAAATCCTCCAGTAGTTCAAAAAAAAAAAACCAAAGTATAGAGTCCGTCAGATAACTTTTTTTTTGAAAATGCTACATGTAAACTACTGAATATTTTCTCAATCTAAATCTTTTCTATTTGAAAGTGCAATCTTTCTGGTTGATAATCGCAAATAATTTCATTGAAACAGCTATTTAACTTTTAAATAGCTGACAAAAAATTCTAAATTGCTGCCAATAAAGAAAAGTTATATGGCGGACCCTATATTATATAACAAGAAAATAAATAGTGAAACTAAACAAAGTTATGTAATCAATTTGGGTGATAAAAAATAAATTATAAGAGCATCTAAAAACTATCTAAAGTAAATCTAGAAAAATTAATAAGTTTCCAAGATGGTCTATAAATGCATAACAATCACACGCACAAACACAAACATACATCATTTTTATATATTTTTTTGTAACTTAAAACAAAATATTAAGTCTATGTATTTTTTACCTGGAAGCTGACAGGTTGCCCATCCTTAGTCCAAGTAACCTGTCTTTCAGTTTGACCTGTGGAAGATTTTTGGAGTCTGTACAAAGGAGCAGAGCATGTCAGGGTCAAAGTGGACCCTATTTTTACTGTCTGTAGTCTAGGGCCTGATATGGCAGCCCCTGTACTTGAAATGTAGGGCGAATCTTGCATTTGAGGCTCTAGAAAGAAAACACACGAATGTAGTAAATCTTCCTAAATAGTTACTTATATACAATAATCTCCTAAACATTTACTTATGGTATAATTATATTATCTTCCCGTAGGGTAGTTATAGTAATGGGCCAAAAATAGAAAATAATTTTTTTTGCATTTCTCGACGTTTTGAAGGTTTCTGAACATTTTGGCATGACTCACAAAAATTGATGTGTGAGTGTGTGTGTTTTGTATATCCGTAAATAACATTTGATCCCTATTGATAGAGAGATGTGCTGATTAGTTTTTGGCAAAAGCAGGTCCAGTCGTTACGGAGATACAGAGCAAAAAGTGCAAAAAATACAAATCAAGTTGTTGAGAGAACGGATCATACGATTTGAGTGATCTAACCACATTCAATTTGTAATGATTGGAAGAAGGGGTGTTTAGTTTTTGGCAAAGACAGGTCCCGCCATTTCGCAGATACAGAGCTAAATGTGCAAAAAATGGCAGTTTTTGAGTAAACTAAGCGTCCGATTTGAATGATATAAAAAACTTTCAGCTTGTATTGACAAAACAATTGCTTTTGAGGATAAAAAATTATTACATCTGTTTTTTATTTTCTATAAAATATTTTTGTAATTTTGGATTGAAAACTCAAAAAATAGCCCAGGCTAAGCACAGTCTAAGCGCTACTCTGGTACAAATGTTTACCCGAGTGCGTTTAGACTGTTTAGGTACTGGAGCAATTTTCCAATTTTGTGAAAACTATTGAAAAAAGTAAAAATGCCGCCAAGCTAAGCACAGTATAAGTGAAAATGACGCACAAAATTGTTTGCGAATGCGTTTATACTGTGACTATACAGGAGCTTTTTTTTAAATTGAATTCGAAATGGAATGACGATTGTTAATGTTCTGTAAATAAATTGATTTATGATTTACATTTGATTTGCTCAGATATAACAAGATAGCACAAATAATGAAAGTTCCGTTATGCCGCCTATACGTTTTTCTTATAATATTCTAAATATCTCAAATATTTGTTAGAAAGCTTATTAATTTTAGTATTTGTTTTTATAATAGACATATTAAGATATAATGTACCAGAATCACAACAATCTAAAATATCCAGAAGTATTTAAAAAAAATCCCAATCCTTTGATTTACTCATGCTCACATGCTTTGATGCATTATTTTTATAATATTCTAAATATTTCAAAAATTTGTTAGAAATCTCATCAATTTTAATATTTGTCTTCAAAGTAGACATATTAAAGTATAGCATACTAGAATTTCAACTTCAAAATATAAAACTTTTGTTCTTTGACTTACACAAACATATATACGCTATGATGCATTTTTTTGTATAATATTTAAAATATCTAAATACTTGTTAAAAAACTGATGAATTTTAGTATTTGTTTGCTTTTATAGTTGATATTTCAAAGAATAGCATCCTATAATTACAACATTCTAAAATATCCAAATATCCGACTTTTCTAAGACAAAATGTCACTTACACCTAGTTTTCAACTTTCCGTAGGGTAAGTTATTCGGTAATCGTCCAAAAACTAATATATCAGTGATTTTTTTTATTAGGTCCTTTATTAACACGTGTCGGGATGTACATGCAACTTGCCTTGAGACAAAATGCCACTTACACCTAATTTTATATTAGATTATATTTTATTTTTGAAAAATGTGAAAATGCCGCCAAGCTAAGCACAGTATAAGTGAAAATGTCGCACAGAATAATTTGCAAATGCGTTTAGACTGTGACTGTACGGGAGCACTTTTTCAATTTTGTGTAAATTAGGCAACTATTTTTTTTAAATTGAATTCGAAATGAAATGACGATTGTTGTTAATGTTCTGGCGATAAATTGATTTAAGATTTACATTTGATTTGGTCAGATATAACAAGATAGCAAAAACAATGAAAGTTACAGTATTTGTAATACGATATTGGAAAACGTTTAAAATTTCTCGAACATTTCATTACGGTACGGAAAGTTCCAGCAATTTGCCTTAAGGCACGATGCCATACACCACTAGTTTATTATTTAATTTCAAAAATCCGAGTGTCTTGGTAACATTTCACTCACGGCCTACAATAAAACACATCTGTCTCCTCTCCATCTTTTTCTCTTCTAGGGACAAACTCTTTAAAAAGATATATTTACATATCAAAAAACAATCAAGTGGGTGGTGGGTTTGACCTCGACCATCAACCCACTGACCTATTTCAACCCAGTCGAATTCATAATAATTTCGACGTCATAATTTACGAGACATCAGATAAATGAAGAAGTAGAAAATAGTTGGTAAGGAGTCCTTAGAGAATGCAATACCGGTATACCGGTATACCGAATTACCGATTTTTCGGCGGTAATTTTACCGGTATTTACCCCAAAAATACCGGTATTTTCGGTATTTTTACATAAGCGCTATTTGATACAAAATACACTAAAGTTTAAATTTCTCGGAACAAATGTATCTTTAAATTCCATAATCGCATAAACAGCTATATCTTCAAGTGATTCTATTGGATAAACAAATGTCAAATATCATCTCAACCCGTCATTAAACTGAATATTTATTGCTTTACTAAGGGCTTTATATCGTGTTAAAATAAATAGAATTGGACTGATAGATAATGATGTTTGTTTACATCTTATGTAAAAATGTAACGGTTTTTTAAGTGATATTTGCGCCAAAATATTTTATATCATACATATTACCCCTGCGTTATCTTTATTTTTTTCTAACTTTATACATAATAATTATGATAATTACTAAATATTTTTGTTTCTTATTACAATTATAAAATATTATTTTTCGAAAACGTTTTGAAGTTTGAAAATACTATAGAAGCATCACATTGTTTTAAATAACAATACTCAACAATTATAGTAACTTATTATTTATCTCGACAAAGAATCCGATCTTAAATTAGTGTAAAAAAAATATATTTTTAAAATATTGGAGATAATGCTAGTTTAACACATCGGATACAGAAAATACAGTTTATTATAATAATGTAATATGATCTTTTATGAGTTTTTGGTCTTTCTTACTCATAAGTTTGTTTTTGGTGAAAAGTACTCAATATACTCGACAGTGATAATGAATTAATTAAATTGCATATACTTTTGTTAAATTATTAACTTAAAAAAATAAACTTATTGTTTTATTTTATTGTTTTTATTGTTTAGTTGAATATAGTTGTAGTTGTATATGCATTTTTTTATATTTGTACTAGTAACTTTCAATTTTGTTTACGTTTGTTTAGGATAATAAAAACACCTGTAATTTACACCGGTTTTAAAATGAAAAATTACCGAAATACCGGTATTGAAATTTTCCATCGGTATTGCATTCCCTAGTAAGGACTTTTTTTTCTTCTTACCTTTGACGACTAGAGTGACATTGTAGTTGATTTTAGGGTCAGTGTTGACTTGGCACTCGTACCTTCCAGAATCTTCTAATTTCGCTTTTTTGACTACAAGACCCCAAGACAGGTCTCCAGGTGTATGTGAGACACTGAACCTGGGGTCAGCAGTAAAGGTTAATCGACCTGATGTCAGGATATGGAGGTCTCTGCCACGAATCCAGGATACCTAAAAAGGTAAATATAATTTTGTAAACACGAAAACTAGATATTTTTATATTAACGCTTTGGGGACGGCTGTCCACCTGAGTAGACAAACATACTATGTGAGGCACAGGCTATTTTATAAACAATGACTCAGTTTGCATCGAAACGTTGAAAAAATTACATATACCAGTGATAAACAGTGTTGTATTTAGAAAAAAAATTAAGTTATTTTAGTAGTGTTTTTAGCCTTTTTCTTTGCTATATGGTCGTTTTTTAATATATAAAACGACCGCGCGCTTTTAAATAAGGCAAAACGACTGGTAAATTTTGTGAATTAAGCAGTAGTAAAGATGAGTTTTAAATAGGCATTCATACAGACAAATTTTACGAAATTACTATTCGCACTGAAGATAGTGATGAATGTAATAATGATATATATACAAGAAGTTCGACAAATTAAATGAAGAGTGGAAAGACATTAGCGAATGTGCCGATTCTCCTTCAATAATCGAGTTTGACATACATCAACAAACACCCCGACTACAAATACCAAGCCATATAAGACATCCAATAGATTATTCTACTTTATATTTTACAAATGAATTATTAGACAATATAATAGAAAAAACAAACAATAATGGCAGCAAAAAAATTAACAAATATACTGACTAATCAGTGGCATATTCTAAATTCTAAAAGAAAAAGGGATTGTATTGTCTGTTCTGACAGAAAAGCACCAGGAGAAAGGCGGCGAACGACATTTTATTGTAAAACAACCAACAATGCATTTTGGAAATTGTTTTGAACGTCACCATTCATTATAAAATGATCAAAAATAAATTAATATTATAAATGTATGTCCTTCAATGACCACAAATATTTATCAAACAAATTGCACAACATACACAATGAAATCAAGTTTACAGCCGGTACAGTAGATTGTTTTGAAATCGGTGCCGTCCCGTAAGTGTTAAACTAAATTATTTTTCAACATTTTGTCAACTTTTGCATTTATTTTTCCATGTATCCCTTCAAAGTCGTAATTTTATAGTTGACATTATATTACAACCTTATACATTGAGGGTTGGTCTCATCTCATCCTTTTGTGCTAATGGATTTTCTTATTGCATAATAAAACGAATCATTTACTTCTGATGGTGCCAGGTAAGTGCCTACGTTGTTACTGGCTTTATAGTTGTTGTTCACTTATGACGAAAACAACAAATTTCCAAAAAACTGAGAATGGCATTAGAAAAGTTTTAATAAATTTTTTTTTAAAAAAGTTAACAAAACTAGAATGAATACATAAAAGTTCGAGCAAAATGAAACAGTTGTTAATCAGTCACTTATTTATATATTTATTGGTAACAAATATTAACTTTGATAGAAGATAATAAAATTAATATTGGAAAATATTTAGTTTTTCATTATGATTTTGTTACTTAGTAATTAGTTCTAAATATATATTTTAACATTTTGTACATTTTGTAAACTTCTTAAAAACAAAGTAAAAAAAAATAATTAATTAAACAAAATATAATGAAAAAAACTATATACACTAAAAGAATTCAATATAATCCGCAAAAATGTATTAAAAAAATATTGATGATCAAAAATAAATATTAACTTTAAGATGAAACTAAGAAAAATAATTGTTGAAATTTGAAATTCTTAAATTATTTTGGTACTGATTAATTAATTCTAAAATAAATATTTGAAGTAAATTAGCATTCCAATCGTCGAATTAAAAAGGGGGGTGATATAAAAAAAAATATTAAACGTTTCGACACATTGTGTGTCATCATCAAATGCAATCAAACCAGAAAAAACACAAAAAACTAAAAATTAAATTGTGTACGAGAAAATAAATATAAAAAATGATACATTTTGAAAACTTTTAAATGGGCAATAATAAAATTGAACATTTGACAAAATATTACCAATTTTGACATTTTTCCCCGTTTCTCCGACCTGCCTTTGCCAAGAAGTAATCAGCACGTCTCCCCATCAATACTAATCGAATGTTTTTTGAATCATTCAATTTCATAATTGACGACAAAAAATTGTATCCGCACACACATACACACATCCACGCGCACACACAAACATCAATTTTTTCTAAGATATGCCTAAATGTTCAGAAACCTCTAAAACTTGAAAAAATGCTAAAATTTTCATTTACGATTTTTGGACGATTACAATAACTCGTCCCACATGAAATTAATAAATATAATATTTAAATATACGGAAAATTAAACAATTAAAATTAATTTACAAAATAATAATAAAACATAACTGTTGAAAAAATCCAAAGTAAATTATTTTATATTGTAAATTATTTTATAAATATATGTAAACTTTTCCAGATTGCATAATTGAAAAAATAAAATGTACATATTTATTTCTGTGTGAAAAGTATAAATTTTTGATAGATTATCTAAACCGATTTATTCTATACAAAAAACACTCAATAATTTTAGTGAAGGCAATATTCAATTAGCGAATCTGAGCTTTTGTCAAAATGTGTAAAAACAATTAATTAGACTACTATATTTTGGGTTTTAGAAAAATATATGAGTAATTCAAAATATTTTAATATGTAAAAAAATCCTGATCTCTTCATTTTTATAATATTTATAGAAGAAACTAAAAATCTCAAATTTAAACTGTTTATTTTTAATTTTGTTTGTTTTTTTTTAATAGATATATATTTCATTTTTTTAATACATATATATAAATTCGTGCTAATCAGTAGGTTGTCGGAAAGGTGAGATATTATTTCAAAATCGCATAGAAACTTTACATTTTTAATTTGAACATTTTTGTAGAAGCGTAATTTGAATAAAACAATGGGCGGTGGCTAATACGTCAAATGTCAAACGTTTTTGACAGATGATGTTCAATTACGTTCAATAGGATGTTTTACGTGAATATTATTTAATTATGATTAAATTGTAGTAAGTAGTTTTGTTTGTAGTTTTATTTGTAAACAAAAACGTTATTAAACGGGCTGTAAGTGTTACTAGAAACTCAAAATATCAACTTTTTTGAAATGTCAATATAAAAATGCAGTTTTTGGCATATTTTTCTCAAACACGGTGCTCTGAAAGGTCTCATTTGTATAATTATATACTCATTGGTAATTATAAAACATTTTCTAGGTTATATTATTTTTTATTTATGTAATTTAAATTCAGAACCTAAATTCGGTATCGATCAATAGGGAAATTTTGTCCAATAACATTTTCCCAGTTACAGTTTCCCAGAATTTATCGGAGAATAGATAGTAATATATGAAGGTCCGGGGTTAAAAAGGTCCACCACCGATGTGTCAAAAACCAGTAAAGTTAAGCATTGTTTAGCAACTATATTTGAAAATAGAGGGAAAGAGATGCATCACCAACTATAACCTTGATTCTTATGACCTTGCTTTAGGGAGATAAACGGTAATCTTTGAAAATACATAATAAAAGTATATAGACAAGTAAGTATTATAGACAAACTAATGGGGTTTATAATACCTCATTGTATATAGCATTCAAACAACGCATCCTTATACACTAAAAGTATTAATTTTTTTGATTCTCTAGAAATTGTTTAGAATATACCTTACTTTACCGGATTTACCGTTGCAAAACAACGTTTACCGGATCAGCTAGTATATACATATATACATATATACATATATATATATATATATATATAATATATATATATATATATATATATATATATAATATTACTATTACTACCTCTCCGCTAACTCTATATATTAACCAGCAGCTTTCGCTACTTTTTAATATCGGAAAAACATCATTTCCTCATATGAAATGTTGTGTGTATGAAAATGAAAATAAAACCAAGAATCAAGGAACGAACACGAACAAACTCTTTTCCTCTCAAACACAACAATACACCTTCGATCCGGTTCAGAAGTTCAATAGTTCGAAAGAAAGTACAAAAGAGGCAGAAATCAACCTCAGCACTAGCAGTATCGACATTATTTATTTTGTTTTGTTGCGCAACACTTGCGATAAACATCGCGTAGGCAATATTATAAAATAAAAAAAATAGTAAAAGATCCGGTGAAGGTAAGAATTGATATAGGAAAATATTAAATGGAACTAGTTGGAAGTGGTATTTAGCCTTGATGCAAGTTGCATAAACTTTTTAAAATGTGTAGTAATTGACTTAATCAACCGAAATTGGGATTTAGATATTTTGATGAAATTAGTCAACTGTTTATTACAAAAACATATTTATCGCTTACAATTGAATCTAAACATTGCAATTTCCAATTGAATTTTCTCAAACACATTTAATTTTTTTCCATAATTATATTAATTATACTATACTTGCCAAATATTCCATATCCAATGCCAAACAAATGTATTATTGATATATGAAACAAAATTCTAAATCATTTTTCAATAAGTACAAATATTTTTTGCATTGTTAAATAATTTAGTAAAGTAAACCAAAATGCGACATGCATAAGTTTAAAAGAATAATGTATATGCAATTTTGGACTTGTTGCGTTATTTATTAAATTGAATTATATAATTTCATCTGCCAAACAAATACTGTTGACTGTATCTTATATCATTTTAATTTATGGCACATCTCAGCTGTTTTTCAGCAATAATAATGTAGACATTACATTTTTCTTGAGTATTATATTCTAATATTATCTAGGCTCATAATTTCACCTAAATTCAAATTTCAAGTGAATTGACATTTCTAGCAGATGACAGTTCAAATGTTTTCAATGTCAAACCGTTGATAAAAATAAATAGTTTTTTGAAGTTAAAATAATTCTATGAATTTTTCAACTTCAAATTATACAAAATCAAAATAACGATAATTGGGTTCAAAACTTTAAAAATGTTAGGGGTGAACAACCCTTGATAAAAATAAATAGTATTTTAAAGTAAAAGTCAATCTGCAATTTGTTTGAATATTATAATAACCTACAGCAACTCGATATGCAATGAATTAAATAAACATATAAGTTTATCATAT